CAAATTGCTCAGTTAACCAGAATGATTGATTCAATAAACACTAAATCTGTGCGAATGATTTTCTCACTAGATATGCAGATTATGCACACTCCAAATATTTAACATAATTCACTCGATGATTCTAAGCCAGACAACTTCTGCACAACTGAAAATTCTATAATATAATTGCCACAATAATGCAGTTGCTATGCAGTTGGAAATCTGTGCAGCTAACTCGGTTTTATTAATTGATTACAGCCCACAAAAACCTTCAAGGGACAATGTTTTGCAGTACATCTCTCATTATTTTGGCATTCGAACATTCGAACAAAGTTGCGAGTGGCTTGGCGCTGCTCCTGAATGCCTCTAATTTGACAGCAGTGTGGTGGGACGACTTGGCCTGGCCTCCCCCGGGCATTGTTGTTTCGCTTACGTGTTGTCTATCTTTTTGTTGCCAGTGACACGGCACAAACACAACACAACACGACACGACATGCCACGCCCCCCTTGGACAGCGGCACCGCACGAGCGATTTCATCCTGCTCCAGATTCGGTAAAACATTTTCTTTGTGTCAGTTGAGGTTGGATTTTATTGTGTTACAACAGAGTTTTGGATCTAGCCGGCTTCCCTTTCCTGCCCACCCCTTCCCTTCCCACTCTCAGTATATATCTGCTCAATCCTTGCACTTTTTTTTTGTACTACCCATACCATTCAGTTGTTTCCCTTGGCTGGCCCTGGGTGGGGTGCGGTATTTGGGGATTTGGCCTGACAGCCAGTTTGAAATTGCAACTGTCAATTGCATTTAATTCGCGCTGTTACTGGCGGTTTGACCTTAGCAAGCAACCAACGCAAGAAACCAAAAAAAATAAGAGAATACAAAAGTACGGAACGGAACAGAACAGAACATAATGGAGAAAAGCTGGAAAAAGTTAACGCTAAATTAAATTAGCACTTAAAAAGAGTTTAAAAAGATGGCCGTGGGAAATTCACAGCATTTTATCCAGTGGCCGTATCAAGTGTACGTAGCCATCGCGGGCCGCCATTGAAAGTGAAGCGGCTGACAGCGTTTACACTTTCAAAGGCTGCCACTGCCCCAGCCCCGGCCCCCTCGACCATTCCATACGGTGCTGTGCCCGTGCCGGTGCCATGCCATGCCTGTCGAGTGTCGCGCAAAATAAACCGTTGGAATGGAAACGCAAAAAAAGAGCTTTTTGCGCGGCTGCTTTTGAAATTTGGCGCCCTCGCATTCAGAGCCAACAGCGTCACTGAGAAACAAAGAAGCACTTGACGGTTGCCTCACACGCAAACACACACACACACACACAGAGAGGAAACACACACGCACACAGAGGAAACACACACTCACACACACACAGATGGTACACTCGGTATGGCATTGTGGTAAAAGCTTTCAAGTGGCAAGCAACAGCAAAGGCAAAAAGAGAGAAGCTGCTGATGCTGCTGCTGCTGCTGCTGCTGGTGTCCTTTGTATCTGCAGGACGATGATTGAGAGAGCTCACGGACAGGGGACAGGGACACGGCCACGGACAATCGAATGCGGTGAAATTCGGGCCATTCTTCTACAGCATGGCAGCAGATAGATATAGAACTCGCAATAACGCCACCTCGCGGCCAGTCCGCAGATTAAATTAACAGCGCTGTGGCTGTGGCTGTGGCCCCAAGATGCTGTTGGTGAGATCAGCAGCCGAATGGAATGGCTGGCTGGATTGGGTGGCTTGGAGCGGAGGTGGTGGCCTGAAACGGGGAAAAGCCCTTGGGAGCAGTCAAGCATTTACAGGCTAGAGCACTGTGAATGGCGAGAAAGTCACCACAGTCGCGGGGCTGGGGGCATGCTGGCAGTTGTGCCACTGTTAAGGCCATGAGTGTGCCACAATGGGCAGCTTTCGAACTGCGTGCTGCAGCAAATAGTGGAGCTACCCCCGAGCATAGTTCTGATTTGGATTGCGCTTTTGGCTTGGTCTTTACTGCGTCTTCAAAATGCCTTTTTTGTCTTTGCCGCTGCTGCTGCTGCTGTGCTGCCATGCGCTTGTCCAATTTACCAGTTTGACTGTCAACGGTTTCCTTCGACTCTTTTCGCCTGTCGCTGGCTGGCCACAAGGCAGTCCTTTGATATTGCATCCTTTGGCGAGGCTATCAAATTTCTTTTCTGTTGCTAAAGAAATGGCAAAGATGTTGCAGCCTTGCTCCACTGCTGCCTGCTGCCTGCCTTTGCCTCCTGAACAAGGAACAAGGACATGCCCGGCTTTCATTTCATTTCATCTCGTTTCGTTTCGCTTCAGTTTTCGTTTCCCATTTCTTTAAGCAAAATAATGACAGCATCAGCATCGGTTGCAGATACTTTTTTGCCTTTCAACCAATCCACCAATGAAGTCAACGCATTTCTGTGGACCTGGGACCCCCAACCCGCCACCACCATCCATCACACCGAAGAGTCATATCTTTGCGCCCCTCGGAATGTGTTGTTCCCTTTGTGTGTCTCGTGTCTGCTTTTTGCTGGCGTGTTAACGCGGAATATGAAATATGAATTCACTTACGCATCACTCCTGACCCTCGCCCCCACACAGCTCCATTAAGCCACGGCTCCCACTGCCGGCCAAAGGATTCTCTAGAACATTGCCTCTCCTTTTCTGCACTGGCAACAGTGTTTCTCTTTCTGTTTCCTTTTTTTGTCCCCTTTCAACGGACCATCCAAATTGGTGATGTTACGCGGCAACTCTTTCTCCATTTTCTCATTTTCTGGCTCTCGGAATGCTTTTTGGCAGCCCCTTTAGGCCCCACGATCCTGCACAAACAAGCAACCAAAAAAGATGTGTCGAATGAGTGCAAAGTGCCTGAGTTGTTTTTATCACGCAGCCAAATGTGCTTGCTGCTGGTCACATCAGAAAAACCAAGCCAACCAATAAGCAAGGGGCCAAGTGGCAAGCCAAAGAGCACCCAGAATCGCGTTATTGCAAAATGATGACAAATTGCAAACAAGAAACTACATCTGGGTGCGAAAAGTAAATATTGGAGATGGAATGAAACGTTTTTAGCTGAAAATATGACTCAATAAAAATGTTCGAAGAATATCCACAGATAGCAATTCCAGTTGACAGTCGAAATTGTGTTTTTTTCAGTGCTTTTTTGTACATTTGTACGTAGGGTCTTTGAGTCCACAGCTACCATAATTATTTATTCAATTTCCATTAGGTTTGTGGTGCTCCCACCTTTGGTTTTCCTTGCCTGTTTTGTTACTTAGAATTCCACATTTACTCAGTGCCTGTGGCTACATCATTCGTAAAGCCTTTCGTTTCCAAGATGTGGGATTATCTAAAAGATTTCGACAACCCAAATGGAGTACGAGAACACCTCAAAGAGAAGCAACTCAAAGCTTAGGCAGCTGTGAATCCCCATCTCTCATCTTCATCGCACAAAAAAACATTAAAAACACGAAAGCATCAACAGACAGAGACAGGCAGAGAATCAGAGAGAGAGAGGGAGCGACTCGAACTCTAGCACCGAAATCCGCTTTGAAATACTCCGTAAGTGCACATGGAATATGAGCAGAACAATTATTAGATGGCAACCAAATGTTTTTCCAGCATAATGCTGGGGGCGGGTCAAGTGGTGAGGAGAGACACCGACTCCGACTCCGAAGCTTCAAGTGATTTGAAATGCAACAGCAGCCAGCCAGAAGCAAAAGTCGGTGGGTAAACTTTCCAATGCAGGCTCGGGCACCAAAATCATTGTGGATTTACCCGGACACAGTCTGAGAGAGGGAAAACAGAGGAGGAGATAGCACATATGTATGTATAGCTACCACTCATGTGGGTGGGGGTGGGAGTACATTATAACAATGGGGCTAGTACAAACATTAAAGAGAGTACATAAAATGCTTTCTTTGTGCATGATAGGGCGCTCGGGTTTTCCAGAAACACACGGAGGAACAAATGAAAGCGAATGCCAGACGAGGTAAAGTAAGTATTGTTAAGGTCTATGGAAGACCGCAACACACACGGACACAAAACACTCAAAAGTATGCCAAAAACAGAGCATCGTTTGGATATATGTACTTAGTATTAGATATGGACAGACAGACAGACAGAGCACAAGACCACCCACAGACGGACTGTCGACAAAAAAAAAAAAAAAAAAGAAGAAGGAATTTCATGAAAGATTTAACATTCAAATGTACAGATAAAGGCGCTTCCTGCCCATGAGAGCGCTTTCACAACGAGTTGTGGGAGTCTCTTCTCCTAAATAAAACTACTTAAGCACATGTGAATGAACAGCATTAAGGATGCGAGACTGTGATGTGCATTTTGCTTACGTTTATTTCAAATGTAAAATATATTTCACTTCAGCAGCAAGAGCAATGAAGAGACTCACAAACAGGGAGAGAATGGTGGCGGAAGGAGAGTCGGTGGCAGTGGTTGTCATCAGAAATATGAAACGAAAATTGCTGGCAGCAAACTTATGAATTTTTATATTGTAATCTGGCAGGGCAGCGGCCCTCCTCCCAATCCCGCTCCACATAAAGACATTGAGAGTGACCACTCGGCAGCAGGATGCTCTACGCTCTCCCACTCACTCCCACAAACTACAGGACAGGAAACGGAAGTCGAAGCGTTGACGAAGCGCGTTTGTATTGTGTGTCTGTGTGTGTTTGTGCGCATTTGTTGGTGTTGCAGATTCTTAATCAGAACAAACTTATCTGGTATGCACAAGCAGAGCAGTGGCAACAACAGTAGCAGCAGCAGAAGGCTATCAAATGAACGAATCGTTGGACACGGCCAAGAAAAAGCAAACCGACAGCAGACACTACTATCTGCTTGTCCTTGCACCGGACTCCGTCTCGGACTCGGACTCGGACTCCAACTTGGACTCACTCTTTTACCTGAAATCTGAAATCTGCAGGGCAGCAAAGTAATTTAAACAGCACGTTCTGCATGTCGCTGGCCAGAGCTCTACTCTAGCCGAGAGCCAGCAAAGCCCCCAGTCCTCAATCCTCAAGTCCAGCTCACTTTTTAGCCTGTTCCTTGCTGCTGCACGGCTTGTCGCCGTCGCCGTGCTGTAGGGTACCTCTGCACCTCTATATATTTTCTTGTTGTGTCCTGCGCTTCTTTACTCATATTAAATGCAAAAGTCATTGAGCGCAGGACACAACACTGGCGAAAGAGGGAATGAATGTAGGAGCAAGGGCTCCTTGTGGCAGTGGCAGTGGCACGGGCAGACAACAAAAAGAACAAGTTTATTTCCACATCCTTGGACATGAGTTTGCTGTAAAATTTCGTGTTGATGATCTTACTAGGTTATGCATTAGTTTTTCCGTGCTCCATCAGCTACCCCCTACCATCTCTCTCGCTCTCTCTCTCTCTCTCTCTCACACTCTTTGCAGTTTTACAGCCCCTTCCTCTGTGCTTTCACTTCCGCTTGTACCTTGCGGATTTTGCCCTCTCCAGTAGCTTTGATTTTTTGTGTCCTGTCGCTGCGCTAAATCTCACCGACATGCATGCAGATGCTCCGTGAAGAGTGCTCCCTGTCCCGTGCCCGTGCCCCGTTGATGTTGCTTGTCTTTTATGTTTATGTAAATTGAAGTTGGGCAGTGCTGCCAGAGCACGCCCATAAATATTTAGTATACGTGGCATTGTCCCTGCTCTCCTGCTCCTGCTCCTCCCTCCGTTGCGACAAACAAATTGCAACATTTTACAGGTCCGAGTCGGATCAGAGCGGCTATTGACTAAGTGCTGCTGATTTACTACAAATAATCCAGGCAAACTCACCCTTTGGTACGCGTCGATTGCCGTTGATGCCACGGACTTTAAGGTCTGAACATTCCGGGGTGGCGGCAGTGGCGGAGCCGGCTTTGTCTTCTGATAGGGCAGAGCCGTCTGATACGCAAGAGGAGGCGGTTGCATCATCTGCTGGTAGCTTCTGATCGGAGGCGGTGGCGGTGGCGGTGGCGGTGGTGGTGGTGGCGGCGCTGGTTTCCCATGGATCAGTGCCTTGAAATCTTCTGGCGGTGCACAGGGAGGCGGATATGCCATATGCGGCTGCTGTTGCATGGGCAACATGAAGGGCAGAAAGATCATTGGCTGTGCGGCTGGTGGTGCCAGGTGGCTGCTGTTGCCGTTGTTGTTGCTGCATGGTTGCTGGCTGCTCTCATTTCCCCTGCAATTCGTGTGGCAGTGCCGCACTGTTTCCGGAAGAGCATTGCTCACGTATGTGTTGGAGGTTGTTGTCGTCGTAGTTTCAGGCACATGCGGAACCAGGCAATTTCCATACGCAAACCCTGGGGCAGGTGTGGCCGGAAGCTGCTGCATTTGCTGGGTGGTTGTCGTCTGTTGCAGGGTCGTGATGCAGCTGACTTGTTGCTGCGGCTGTTGCTGACTCGAGTAGAGCGCTGGCGGCTGTTGCTGTTGCTGGTTCTGGTAGAGCGGAGGCGGTGGCTGCTGGTGCTGCAGTCGTGGCACGGGCAGGTGCTCATAGCTCTGCTTGCAGCAGCGGCAATCCTGGCAGCAACCAGAGGACGGTGGCGGCTGGCTGCTCCCATTTCCGCAGCAGTTCTTGCTGATCGAAGAGGAGGGCATCGCATAGGGCTGACTGCCTGCTCTCGCGGCAGCAGCGTAGCTTAGGAGCTTCGGTGCCTTGCCCGTCGACGGTGGGGCACCGCTGTTGGCCGTAGCCTGCCACTGGAGGGCGCAGGGCAGGATGCCCACAAAGCTCAGCCCCGCAGCGGGACTGGCTGAGTTTCCGTTGGACAGGTTGGCTATCTTTCCCACAACAAATCTCCCAAGTCAACTGGAAAGAAAGAGCAAAGCAGAAGCAGCAGCTTACAATAATATCGAATTCGTTTGCTACATTAATTTCTAAATAACCAAGGAAATATTTCGGGGTGGCTCTCTCCTTGTCTTCGTTCACCCTTGACTTTTTATATAATTTATGATTGGGAGAGAGAGAGTGGGAGAGCCTTTCAGCACGCTTGAATACAATTCTCCCCTTATTAAAACAAATTTTACCAAAACAATGTCGAGCCTTCGTTTTTCTGATTTCACCTCTTCTTTCTCTCTCACTCTCTCTCCACGCCCTTCAGCAAATTAAAACATCTTTACATATCGCTGTTTGTTGTTGTTGTTTTTTTTTTTTGTTGCTTTTTGCTGGTTTTCCCATCCTCCATTCTTCGTTTTTCCGGCTGCTGCTTGTTGCTTACTTTCCAAGTCGCCATCGACCAACCAACCATTCGCCCATCCTCAGAAAGGAGTCGTGGAGGAGGGGGGGATGGGGGCCCGACACTCGTTAGAGGCTTTCAGAAATCACTCAAAGTTTGTCAAGAACGAGAAAACCAATTTTTCAGCTGAGTGCATTTTAATTTCGTATACGCCCCGTGTGCCCCTGTTGAGTTCTGTGCAATGCCATTGCCCATGGGCGTGGCGCTAGGACCACCGACAGCGCAGGCTGGGGTTCTGCTAGTGTGCCCCGAGCCCCGGCCATGTTGTACGTAGAAAAAGTTTGCTTTTCATTGCAACACGCTTGAAATGGCAACTTGGACAAACAGCACCGACAGTAGTAGAAGCAACAATAACACCATCAGCAGCAGCAGCAGCAGAACCCAAAAAAGTTTCCAGTTCTGTTCCCCATTCAGGCAGGGGCGGGGCTCCCTTTGAAGCCCCACTGCAAATGCAAGAAAAATTGGCTCCGCCTTGGCTCCCTTTACATCTACATCTACCCCATGGCATCTCTGACCAATTTGCATGCCTCTGTCCACACTCCATTGTTGACTTCTGCGTCCGTCCGTCCGTCCGTCCGTCCATCCGTCTGGCCTACGTGCACGCATTTTGGCCAGAAACGAATCTTTGCAGCAGAGCAAACAATAGAATTTTAAATGTGACAAAACAGGTACACAGGGCCAGCTACAATACACCTGTCCAGCCATGGTACGGTACTCACTGCCTCCAGGCGCATTTCTCGACATAGAATATTGCATCAGAGTGCGCCTGCAGAGGGCGAGGACAGTGGCCAGTGGCCCATTGCTAATTGTCAAGCTGCCTGCCTGGAATGGGAGGGAACGGAAACCTTCTCATCTTCCAAATAGATTCAGTCCGTATCAGGAATCAATCACATACTTGACTGCAATCTTGAACAATGATTTGTGAACAGGATTTTTCCATTACCAGCGATTTTCAATCAATCAATTTAGTGCCAGCTACGGGGCTATGAGCTACTGCGGTTGTACAGGGCCAGGAAAATAGTATCAAAGTATGCTTAAAATTCAATATCTATGGTTGATGGTTACTAAAATCCAATAAAGGTATTCAGATAGACGTGTCTCGTTTATGACAGGGAATTTCTGGGCAAATTTCAGCTTCTTATAAGAACAAGAGTTAAGAAAAAATGTATATTCTCCCTAAAAACATAAGACAATTTTGGAGCTCTTAATTAATCCAAGCAAACTCGATTCATGTATCATCCTCAGACTCACCTTTGCCATGCCAACCAGACAAAAATTTTGCAAAATAAATTACCTTAATTCCATAAATACTTTGGCCGCATAATGAAAAATATTTGCACAACTCAAGATCAAAAGTTTGGTGGCAGTGGCAGTGGCATACAGTGGCAGACAAGACAGCCAAAATAGTTTGGGAAGACTCCAAAAAACACGGAAACTTTGTTCGACTCCTCCTGAAGATTAAGATGCCAGGAGACGCACAAACTTTTGCTCTTTGGCAGCAATTTGTTGCAGCAATCGTGTTCGATTTAAATTGTTGAGAATTGTATCTAATAAATGCCACGACGAGTTACGAATTTGTGGCCTTGCAGCTTAATTACAAATACCGAATGGGGTTAGGTCCCAAAATGTAATCCCCTGGCAAGGACATTCACAAACAGTTGAAGTCCTTTGAAAGTATTTATCGTTGTTGTTGTTGTTTTTGCTGCTGCTGCTGCTGTTTGTGAGATACATTCGGTTGGTGGGGGGACGGGAGGGGGCCGGTCATAAGGCCGAAAGTACAAAGAAACTTGTAAAAAGAATTTGGTAGCATCAAAGCAAAAATTTTTAATGAATTTCTTTGCCGGCCAGCGGCGGCCGTAAGCCTCAAAAAACGCACTGCACGCAAATGCAAAAAGGCGCAAAAAGGACCAAGCCCAGAGAGGGAGGCAGTCGGGCAGTCGGGCAGTCGGGCAGTACCCGGGTGAGGATGCAGGGTCAAAGGTCCAGCTGCTGTTTTGATGGTAGTGGTGCTACTGCTGCCGCTACTTCTCTGGCACTGGCACTGGCTTTGGCTCTGGCTGTGGGTCCACTTCATCTTCCCTTTGCCAGTGACTCGGAAATCGTGCTGCTGCTCGTTGGTGGCCTTAATTAAATTTAAATATTTTATCACCGAAAAATTGCCAGGCGGCAGCAGCAACTGCGCAACAAAAACAACAGCAACAACATAGCAGCTACAGCGGCAGCAGCAGCAGCAAAACCAAGGGGCACAGGCACATGAAAAGGGTGCCAAAGTGTTGGTCCTTTACGGGTGCATGTATTTGTGTGTGTGTGTGTCCCTGTATCTATGTTTATGTGTGTGTGTGCGAGTGCAGACATCCGAAAAATACTGATGTGGGTGTATTTTTCATTATTTGCCAAGCGCTGCAACTTTTTTTGGTCCCCGCCCCAGCCCCAGCCCCAGCCTCATCCTGTTGTCCCTCGTCCTTTGCCATTGCCACACTTCATATTCAATTGTGTTGAATAATTGCCATACGGTTTTTTGACCAACGGTTTTTGACACTTTCCTAAAAGGACACACGCGCTCTCAAGTACCCCGGCCCCAGGCAGCAACACCACCATCACCAGCAGCACGACTCAACTCCACTCAACAGACCGCCCTCATGCCACATTTGAAGTTCGTTTTCCCTTTTTTTGGACTAGGGGTTCCACTCCCCGGGCAAAAAGTGAGCAAAACACTTCAGCAACATTCGGGGAGGGGGAACTCGACCACTCGGGACCTCTGCACAGAGCAGCAGCAGCAGCAACAACAATTATAAGGAGTGTAGAAAAAAAAAAAAAAACAGGAAAACAGAAAACAAAACATGCCGAAAGCGTTTTTTGAAATATCTTTGTAAATATTTAAAATTCTCTGTACATGCGGGCGCTTCAATCAAACTGAATCGCCATTGGGTGGAGGCGAACAAGGGTCGGGACCGATGATAGTGGGGGGATTGGCAGCAGGATTGGTTGTCTGGATGCTTGGGTGGGGACCAGAGACCAAGGCCATTGTGTTCACTCTTCTGCAGGTGGGGGATGGAGATGGTAATGGGTATGTTCGATGTGGGTGGACACAAGTTTTAAATAGTTTTTGTTGGCAAATGTCAAAATGCAATTTGATATTCATAAATTAATGAACCGCCGCCCCTGCAACAAAAAATCTCGCTCGCCTGGATTATAAAGTTTCTACATAAATTATGGGGACGTATCTGAATGTGGGCTTTGGCTGTGGAGTAGTGGCATGCCATGCGAAGGGTTGTGATTTAAATCTGGGATTTAAATATGTAATCGCAAACTTATTATAAATGCATTAGCAATGAGCTTGAAATTAGAAATTCCTTTTCTAGTTCCATTCGAACAATAGAAAATGGGATTTCATTCAGGGCAGCAACTCAATTTTAAGTTTAATTATTATTATTTTGGTTATTTCGATCAGCGTCTAACAAATACAAGGGCTTACATATGTTTTATGACTAATCGCTAATTATTTAGCGGGCTTGTCTTCTGGTTGCGTTTTAACTCTTTCAATGTCACGCTTTTTCTTTTAAAAATGAAATCTTAAATCTCTAATGATCTGCCTCTGTTGTAGGTATCGAGGAATATCTGGTTGTTATTGTGGAACTTTTTCATTTATTAATACGCTTGTTGTTTTCAGAATTACCAAAGTGTGGGCTGTACTTTAAGTAGCTCCCATAACTATGCCGTTAGTGGGTTTTTAATGTGTCTTTGCAAAGTAGTTTTGACCCCTTTATAAAGCATGAATTTAATTTTATTTGGGTTGATTTTGTTGGTGGGTATTTGCACTCTTTGAAAATGGTTTTATCTCTACGAGCGCTGTCTAAAAAATATTTAAAAACTTCTTCCAACCTTATTGGCTGTCACTTACTCTTTACTGGCTGCTTATAAATATCCTGAAAGCTATCTATAAATCATTTATAAATTATCATTAATAAATTCATTCCATTCCCTGAAAAGTCGTACCACAGTTGAAATCAATTTTATTTAATCACATCTGAAATCCTTATTCAAAATAAAGACAATACGTGAGCACAGTCAGACCTCAAAATCAAAGAAAAATCATGAATACTCTTCTGTTGAAATCTAGTTCAAAATCGAAATAAACAGAGCTAAGATTTATTGGTAATTGGGTAACAAATTCTTAAGCTATATTTATTTTCCAAAAATTCCATCCTCTTTGTATTGAGGATCTTTCTGTGCTGGAACTATCTACACATGCGCTCTACCTCTGGTACGCTTGTCCTCAGATGGCGTGTTAGTGGCTGTGGTAGCTACGAAAACTTAAACAAGGTCAACAACAGAATCACAACACAACAGAGGCAAGAGACA